AGGTCCTTCAGGCACAGGAATTCTTGTCTTGGGTTAGACCCCGACAAAGCCAAGACTGGAACCCCCTGGTAAACAAGCAGGACACCGCATTGCTGTCATAAACCAAGGATCTCTCCTAAATTGCAGCTGTATTCTTTTCATGATAAATGTCTGTGTACTTAAGCATACAACCCCACTTATGGGAAGAATATATATGCTACATATTTCTTATCCGTCTTTCTTAACATATTGGGCTTAATTGCATTCCACCAAATTTGTATGCTGAAGTCTTAACTCCCCTGCTACCTCCCAGACTACATTTGGAGATAGGGTGTTTCTATCTAGAGGGAACTGAGAGTGAAGAGAGTATGGTGAGGTGTTTAGTCTGAATTATGAACTTATAACAAGGGAAGAGGGAGCAGAGACATCCACACAAGACAAACATGAGAACGCTGGTTAGGCGGCCATTGAGAGACCAAGGATGGATGCCAGCTCTAAATGCTTGGCAACAGGAGCACATCACCATTTCAACAAGCTCAGCTCAACGCCAGACCCTCTGCAACACCGTGCTAAATGGGCACCATCACATAACGGCATTGACAGCTGCTATAGCACCATGGTGTAGTGCCTAACTTCAGGTCTGCAGCGATGCTGCCACAGAGCTGCTGGGCTGCAAGCCAGAGGCAGCCATACACAGGATAGGGTATGAGACGGTAAGCGGTGATGCCGCCGGCTCGTCTACTTTCCCCACTACCCGTTTTTATTTTCCTACCCTAGTGCTGGGGAACCCAGCCCACAGCTGCTTGACTACTGAGCTAGACCCCCAACCCGTCTGTGACCTTTTTAAAGCACACATCTGGTTGTAAATAATGTTTACTGTAGAGCAGTGAGCTGATTCCGCCGTCGGCAGACTCACACGCCCTACGGTCACTGTGTCTCCTGAATGCATCAAGTTGTCAAGTGAAGTGACCAACCCCAAGACTGGGTAACTATGGGTGGACCACTACAAGGGTCCCGCAAGGACAAGGTGGCCCTGATGATGCCTGTGTGTGGAAGCACCCCCACTGTGAGGCATTGTGTGACTACCCCCCTCATGACCTTGAATCGTATGTCTCTAACTGGGAACAGTTCACAAGCCGGATTGCCAGAAAAGGGTGGGGAGAAGAGGCAGGTCTGGTGGAGGCGACACGCTGTGTGATTTATCCAAATTTGTGCTCTACAGGCTCCATACCAAGGCACACAGGAAAACCACTACAGAGAAAGCAGAAGTCAATCCATCTGACGCACGGGGCTTAGAAGCTCTTCTTGAGGCTCTGACCTGGTGACCCACTTATAACTACCTCCCCTTCCCTCCAACTTCTGTGCTCAAGTGGTTACACGGTCAACCATTTTCCTCCACAGCACGCATCCCAGGGGTCCTAGTACCCCATCTCTGCAGATGGCTTCAACTTAGTCTCCCCAGGGGAAGCCACTCTTTCCAGGAACCAGGGCCACCTGAGATGCATGGGTAGCACTTTCTACAGCAACAGAGCCGTTCTGGTGCTAAAGCTCGGTGGTAAAGAATGTGTCATGCACGCATGCTGTCCTGGGTTTGATCCTAACCCACAAAAAATAAAAATAAAAAGAAGAAAACTAAATGAATAGAGGGGGGGTCTACAGCAACCAGAGTCCTCAACACAGCAGAGGAGTTTACAGCAATTTTAGAAGTGACATTGCTTTTGTAAAACGAATAGACACAGTGAGTTCTTTCTAAGGACAGATGCCACCCCTATACGGCAGCGGATTCCAAGCTGGCACTAAGACTGGTAACGCTGGTACACAGGATCGTGCATCGCTTCTACGAATGGGCTGGAGTGGGTCACGCCCATGGAATCCAGGTGACCAATCATTGTGTTGTAAGCTGACCCGTGGGGCAGCTTCCAGTGGGAGGTGGACCCAGACATACGAGTACTGTGAATCCAAGCCTGACATCAGAGACAAGGATGCGTACAAGAGCAAAGCAGGGGCCCCACGGACAGGGACAGAGGGTGCCGCTCTCACTCACCAGCCAGCATGAGAATCGGGTACCTTAGACTGTCTTAAATCATTTTTGTTGTCATTGCTGTTGTTGTTGCTATGAGTGAATACCTTAGACTGGATGATACATAAAGCATAGAGGCTTCTTCGGTTCATGGCTGTGCAAAGGAGGAGGTTCACGGCAAATGGGCAGTGTCTGGTGAAGGACAAGTAGCAAATGGGCAGACACACACAAGACAGCACAGGGTACAATGGGAAGGAGATCCAAGGACTAGAGCCAAATCGGCTTTTGTGACAGGGATAGTCTTGGGATAACCCGGTAAGCAGTTCCTTAATCTGTGGGAGAATTCAGTGTCCCCACCTCGGAGGCCCTTGCACGGAGGGTTAAATTTTCTCGTCAGTTTGTGGGGGATCGTTCAGATCACCGCCCAGACCTACTCAATGGGAGGAGGTGGACAAGAGTACCATCTCCTAAATGCAGAAGACTTGGAGCCTTCTATGTGAGGACGGCTCATATTTTCTGCCTGGCAAGACTAAAAGCAGAGGATCCAGCTAATCCCTGTAGGCCATAGAAAGTGTGAGATCATGTTCGTGTAGTGTTCAGCAGCTTATATGTGTGACATTTATTGCACATTCGTTAAAAAAAAACAACACATGTCATCACTAATTCCTACACCAAAAACCAAGGCCTTCTAGCTCTCCCTCTCTCCCTCTCCCCTCTCTTTCTTCTATTTTCTTCCTCTTTCTTCTCCAATCTTCTCTCTCCCTGGCAGCCCCATAGTCTATATAAGCCAAGCAATATACAAGAGATCCTCCCCCACAACTTAATTTTACAATATCTATGCCTGAGAAAGATCTACCTCATGAAAAAAGGAGTGTGGTCCACCAGAGGGTGACATGACGTACGAATAAAAATCTTTGATCGTGCACACCCTTGGAGTGTGAACTGTGACATGGTCACACGGCATAAATCCTCCTCACTTCAGAGGGTGATGACCAGCTCTTCCCTTAGCTGAGGTCTCAACTCAAGATTCACGAAGAGGTCAGAGAACACTTAGGTAGAGAAAATGCGTGTGGTTCTTGAGACTCATCAACTGCTGGCGGCAGGAGAGGTCAAAGACAGTAGAGGATAGCCTACTGACACTTTCCTAAACCAATATAATTTCTAGCTATTCTAAACACTTACCCTTACACTCACGGATGAATCACTTCTAATCAAAGAAGTTCCTTTTTGCAATAGACGGAGACCATTACAGAGACACCAACTCATCAGACTGCAGAGAATAAGTGACTGTGGGGTGCTCAGCCCCAAATGATGTTTCTGCAATGCAACCCTTACACAGGAGGCACAGGGGAAATTGGAAAAAAAAGGTGAGAAGGCTGTAAGCTGGATCACCAAGACACTTGCTGCAAAACAGTGTCTTCTGGGCATGAAAAGGGGAGTTGCACCCATTACAACTCGACAGGAGGGAATCCTAAAAAGACCTGCATAATGACAGCATGCCAATGATGATGCGAGATATATTACAAGCCCTCACCCATAAATGAAGAGCTAAGGGCAATCAATGAGAGCTGAAAGAGAAATAATCAGTTTTCTTCAGTGACGAACTCCCTAATAGGTTATTCAGTCCTAAGCCGTCATCCCTGAACTCGTATACACGGGAGCAGCAGCACTTAACGAACGGGTCAGCAGGGGTTTGGTGTCGTCGTTGCTGGTTTTGGTTTTGTGCGTGCATGCATGTATTCATGTAGCAATAATGAAGAGGTCATGAATTCGACAGGGGCATAGGAGGAGCTGGAAGAAGAGAGGGAGGGGTGGAAATGAAGTAAATGCAGTGCTCGTGTGTGAAATTCTAAGAAAAGAAATAAAGTAAAACGGGAATAAAACTAAGAAACAAAGAAGAAAGCAGGGAAGGCGTGTCTTACGGGCAAAAGCGCCAGACCTAACATCCCAGGCAAAGACAAGTCCTTTCAGGAGAAGCAAAGGCACTGCCACCTTGAGAGTTGGGTAGAAGCCTGGCCTGGCCGGCCAGCCACAAATCCCCTGGATGCCTGCAACACTGCTTCCCAGCGTCTGTTTGCTCAACTGGAAAGTGGGGGTGCTAAGCAGACATGAGGGAATCTGAGGCTTCCGCGGTTCTCTTCTGGAGCAAACGTGTTAACCCTTCATAACACATCACACATTGTCCTGCTCTTCTCATCTGAACCCTGTTTGTCTAACTGGAGATACTCCGGAGCAAAGAAATCTGGTAAAAGAATTAGGATGGATGACCAATTTCATTAGAGAGAAAAACAAGATCTCCTAACACATCACTTTGATCATTGGCTTAAGCTTGTTTAAAACTACTTTATTCATAGAAACCATGCTTTTAAGACTATTAAGTAGTCCAGAGTTTAAAGTAATTGCTCTACCCAGCTAAAAAGCACTTTTACTTTAAGCCAGGAAATTGATATTACCTCATTGTAGTTCTTCATAAATTCAAGATTTAAGCATTGATTAGGGGTGCATGCATCAGGATTTCGACTCAGTGTATGATTCCCATAGCTATGGGGTGTCTTCGTGGTAAGAGGGGTCTCTGCTGTGCATTGACTCATCTCTCTAAAGTAGTGAGGCTCTGTAGTGACCAGCCCCCCATTTTAGCAGCCATTACAGGATAACATGTGCTTGCATGACCTTGCCGCTCCTGTCCTGGTCACTAAGGTCAGATGCCCTCCTCGTGGCAAGGAACCAATCAGAAGTTAGCTGGTGGGGCTGTGCTTTAAAACTCTGGGTGTGCTTTACGGACAGTGCACAACAGTGACATGCAGAGCATAGCAACCACCCTGGGAGGGCCTATGGGCCATAACAACCAGTTGACCAATCAACACAGGGCAGGTCACTCAAACCTGGAAGCACACCAATCCTGAGACTGTTTCATGCCCCTAGACACTCCCCTTACGCTGCCCTTTAAGATCCCTGCCTCGAGGTTGCTTGGGATCTTTTCTCCAGCCATTTGCCATGGTGGTGGGGTGAATGGCCCGAGCTCAAGGGGTTAGCTCATTAAACATCTACAATAAAAGACTCTGCTTTTGCATCGAAATGGGCCTCTTGGTGATTTGGGGGTTCCGAATTTGGGCACAACATTTGCTTCTAGAATTGAACACGGGGGAAACTATAAGGAAAAGAGAGAGACATGGTGCCATCTCCATCATCAGCATGACTGGATTTAGAATTACCTATGAGACACACCCCTGGATGTCTGTGACGGCATTTCTAGAGCTGTTTACACATGTTGGGAAGACCTTCCTTGGCACCATCCCCTGGCCTGCACTAGCAGCTTGGATAAAATGGGAAGGCAGGAAGCCGCACCAGCAGCCATCTCTGTCCTTCTCGACTGTGGACTGCCCATGCTCTGGCTGCTACGGAAGACCATCCTCTCAAACCGTGAGCCAAAGGTAACTGTCTCCCTCATGTTGCTCCTACCAGGCACTTATTACAGAAATGAGAGAAGTAACTAACACGGGAAATGAGAGACTGACTACCCGATTACCTTCTGCTTCTATGGATTGCTCTCAAGGGGATTTACATTTCGGCTATCTGCTCATACTTTGACCTCCGAAGTAAAGAAATGATATTTTGTTTTGTTTGTTTCTTTGTTTGGTTGGTTTGGTATTTTTAGGGGGGGTGGCTTTTTGGTTTTTTTGTTTGTTTGTTTGTTTGTTTTTTAGTTTTTGTTTTTGTTTTACAGGAAGACAGATTCTGTTGTCCCTCACAACCAATTAATACCTTGTCAGTCTACTGCTGTTCCGTGAAAATGAATGGTCATTATAGTTATTTGACTCGTCACTATGCCGGTGTTCAGACTGGTCTCTGAATGTATGACTCTAATGGTTTCATCTCTAAGACTCTTTCTAGGCTACATGGGAAGATGCCAGAATAAAAGGCACACACACTTGTGACTTGGCAGTCAGCTCCCATGCATGATATGAGAGTCATGCAAGTCTCATGATGCTGCTGTCAGCACAAAGAGCCATGAGCCTTTGCGATGACATGCTGTCCACACTTCTGAGAATGCCCATAAACACTGCACGGTTACTAATGTCTGGGCACGTCCCTGCTGCGAACCCTCAGGATGCTCAGGGGAGACAGGCCGAGGGGAGCATTGAGCACAGAGTTAGGGAGTGCAGGGAGGACAGACAGCCCCAGACGGGAGCAATGAAAGTCCACAAGCAGGTTCACACTGAGGCCATGGCTGTGGGCAGCTGGGAGGCACTAAGCCATCAAATGAAGCCCAGTTGGAGAGGGATAAGCCCACGTTTGGAAGGTGAGCATAGAGTTCTATGGTACCCACCCAGGCCCCATAGGCGCTGAAAGCAAGATACTCTGTACATTCTGCCCGGAAACGCTGCCGAGGGAATGCAGACAGAAAACAGTCCTGGAATGTGTGCATGGAATTGCGACAACCTCTCGCGCTTTGGGAAACTGTGACTCCCAGCGGCTCGCCCATGGACACAGAGGGTCATCTTTGTAAACATTCCTGGCATGCATTCATCTCCCCAGAGACTTACTCAGCACTAAAATACACCAGACTGTTTAGTCTCCCAAAACACACAACTGTTCTTCAGAAACAGCCCTCTGTGCAAGGGCCATGGGGACTCCACAGCGACCAGCACTTTTGTCTGTGGTCTAGAGCCAGCACCAGCTGGTATAGATGGTTTATATTGTAGTTTCTCTCAGCACGGAGACTGCATCATCTTAGTGCTCACAGGAATTGCAACAAAAAAATGAGCACAGCTCCCTCTACACCATGCAGAAGCCACCACACAGTGCACTCTCCAGCCTGCATCTTGGGAAGCCCTCTCTTGGTCCTACCAGTAAATTCCCACTTTCAAACAGAGAAAGGGATCCTAAAGAGACTGAGCAGTCCACTGGTAAAAAGCCCATGTCACTTTGGAATCCATGATGGCAAAGGAGGTTTGACCTTGAAAGCACATCTGATCTGGTGGCCTTAAAAAAAACTCACAAACACTTTGGAAAATGCTAAGCAAGAAACTCTGCCTCCCATGTCCATTTGAAATTGTGCAGCCAGAGACTACTGTGGTCTGAGACTACATTTTGCTATGCATGCCGGAGCAAGCATTGCAGTTTCTGAGAGGCACGGAATGTCAGTTTCTAGTCCTTTTGTCAAAATGCCTACACATTTGTAAACAATCAGAGGGACTATAAACTGGCACATATGCCCTAAATAGGCCTGAGCAGACACTCTGAGATTAATTAGCCATTATTCCTGGGACCACATGTGTCCAGAACCATCCAAGCTGTGGTTATAGGACAGCGCTCTGCTGTGGCCTCTGACTCTGGGCGCTTCCCTCTGGAGTTGCCCTCGCTGAGGGGGAAAACTGGCTAGTTCCCTGGCTTTAGGCTGAGTGGCAGCTCTGAGCACTGCTCCCCTCCTCCTAAGACAAATGGCATGCCAATCAGGGAGAAGCCGCAGACAGGTTTGTGTCCCGTGTGGTACAAAGCCACTTTACATATTCCCGCATGATCCTTTCGCAGGATATACTTATAAACTGCTACGCCTCTGACTTTGGAGTGATCAGCTGCTGCCAATGATGCCTCCCACCTGCTCCATGCTGTCTCTTACGGCCACGAAGCCCGGGAGCACACCTGACCTGGAGACTCATCCTGAATCAGGCCCTGGGCTCTCCAATGCCTGCAAAAGGTCTGAGCTAGCTCAGTCCCCCAGCAAGCCCACCCCTCCACACCAGACCTCCCTTAGCTCTTTACTCCCACCCTGTACATTTGCCCCTATGTTGGAACCATGAAACTAAAAAGGGCCACGTTCATGCTGGACTTCGCTTTGTGTGCGAGTCTTCCCTGTGATGGTGCCTTTGGAGCAGGCGTTTGGTTTTAACTAATCAGGCCAGAAACGCCACAAATGAGTCACATCTCACATTCGACTTCCGGTACAGACTTCAAACAAAAGCTAGCTAGCACATTGTTTATGAGAAAGGCACTACAGCTGTTCACAGGATTCCAACGGAATGAAACACACGGGCACAATTTCAGCATTATCAGATAAATATGACTACATGGCCAGTATCTTCTCTTTATCCTACTTCATCTCAATCAATATAAAGGCAGGGGGGTCTTTTATAGACATCACATAGGCTTCTGGTCTCTGTCAGCTTGCATTTCCTGCTAAGACATTCAGGGTTAAGTCGGGCATATGTGGCAATAAAGTGGTTACATTTGCTAAACCAACAAACATTCAGTTGGCCAAGCATGCCTGGATGTGTCCTGTTTTATACGCAGTCAGATGTACTTTATCGTCTCCGAGGTGCAACATGGCCAAGCAAATTTAGAGGTCAGAAGTGGGAGATTGGATCTAGTAAGGCCCACAGAAGACGCAACCAAGACGCGGGAATGCCCACAGAACCAAGCCCATGGTTGCCGAACCCAGTCCATCCTGGATGTTGAGTTCACACAGATCCACACAAGGTACAACCACCCCACCTGCTGACCCTGATGAAATACCCACCATCTCTAAGTGAGTGCTGATCTGGTCCCCTTGAAGACGTGCTCCCAACCTGAAACCTCAGTCTGCTCCCAAATAAAGCAAGCATTCTTTGCTCTATCTCAACCTTTGTCTGTGGTCTCTTGGTTTCCAGAGCATCATGAAGTAACTAGTGGCTCCAGCATTTAGAGTAGGAAATCCTTTCATGGGATTATTTTCAGATGATGGGCAGGTAAACAAGTGTGTGTGTGTGTGTGTGTGTGTGTGTGTGTGTGTGTGTGTGTGCGCCCGTGCCCACACCTGCTTTTAAGAGAGGAAAGCAGAGAAGCAGAGAAGTAGAGATAAAGAGATAGAGAGTCTGAAAGAAACAGAAATTTGCACTGTGTAAAATTACCTAACTGCTGTATGTTCTCATTCCTCAACAGACAGGGAAATCCGAAGCCCAGAATAAGAGATAACAGATGTAAAAGGCTCTGCAGCTTCAGCGCTGACATTCTGAGCCAGGTAGTTCTGCTCCTCCCAACCCCCCCCCCTACCTCCGGCCCCAACTCCCCAATTGGATATATTGGGTTCAGGACTCACACGCACCCCTTAGACTGGTATTCTACTGCTGCTGTGATAACAGCCTCTTTTTCTTTATGTCATCTTGTGATTCATGCTAAATTACACAGGTTAGCTTTCAACTTGCCATGTTCCTGCCTTGACCTCAGCAGCATTTGGGAGCCAGATCATAGCTGAATGCAGGAAGCTGTCTGCATATCACAGGGCATCAAGGGGGCACCCAAGCACGCACTTAAAAGATGCCAGCACCCTTCCCTCTGACAAGAAAAGCCAACTGTAGAAAGTGCCAAATGCCCCCTGGGCATCAGAATCAGCCCTGGTTAAGAGATCTTGCATCAAAGCATCCGTCACAAGCGCTCTGGAAAACGAATTATTAGGTAAACATTTACGGCGACAGCATATTTTAAAAATCGTGCAGGCGAGAACTCATCACTGAAACCGAATGGGCAAGAGCCAAACAGAAGAAACCTGAGCCAAATGTGTTGTGTAACACCCAGGATGGGTCTCCTTCCACCAAAGCTCAATCAAGCATCTATCTGTTCACTAACTGACTCAGAGTCCAACGTGAAATCAGAGGCAGCCAAAGACGATGCTTGGGGTGGCTCTTCTGAACAGAGCCTTCCAAAACTACTAAAAATACCATCGTTTAAACTATCAGCGTGAAATGCACTTTCTGATCTCACTTGGAATCTTTAAAAGTTGATCTCACAGAGGCAGAGGGGAAAAAACTGGAGGCCACCAGATGAGGAAGGTAGGGGGTTCAGAGAAGAGAGCGGTGGACCCGAGTTGGTGGGGAGGTTGGAGGAGGGAGCGTTGGGTAGACATGTGCTAAACTATGGTTAGACAAGAGAAGGGGGTGCTGCCTCCTAGTGTATAGCTGCGTGGCTCTGGATGACCGCAGCACATACCTCACAAATGCGAGGAGAATGGACTGAACTTTCTACCAGAAAGAAGTGACAAGTGAATGAGGAGACCCGTATACTCCCTCTGAACGCAATATATTCATTATCAGATCATCAGATGGTGCCCCACAAATAGATACAACTTTTACATGTCAACTAAAATTAAGTCAATCAAACATAGAGGAAAACCGCAGTCCCTAAATTATTTTTCTATTACATGTGCTACAAAAGCAATACACCAAGATGAGTGGGAAATCTGAGCATGGAAGCACACACCTACAACCAATGGGGAAACTGAGGCAGGAGCCTATTGAGTCTCAGCCCAGCTTAGGCTACAGGACAAGACCATGACACGAAGAACAAAACAAAACAAAATGATGGGAAATACTGGCTACCCCAGGGTGAAGTCAGAATGCGGTATACAATGTCCCAGAGGAGCTTGAGCAGACGCAAGGGCTCTTAGATCTTGGGGAGAAGGCTAGGAATTCAAGTTTCTCAGTCCAAGAAGAGAGCAGACTGAACTGCTTAGCGACCACAGCCATGCCCTCCAACGTGACACTGAACACTCAGGATAAATGACAATTTCCTAGGAAATATATCTGCGCAGGAGAACGAAATGATACCTAAGTCATGACTGCCTACAAACTCTGTGAGTTTTAAAACACTTTTTGGACGGTCGTTTCTAATGTGGTTGCTCTCCTGGAAGGGAGGAATTCCCAAACGCACTCGTTCCTTGGTATCCACAGGGACCGGGCCAGGACCTTCTTTGGATGCCCAAATCTACACATCCTTCGAGTTCATCCACACACCTCCCCTTTATTTTTTTCTTCTTTTTGCTTTGTTCCTTTTTTTGCCATCTGACCTGTGGGAGCATTTACATTTAAACTAGAAATCTTTCCCTTGCGGATGTTTTCCCATCAAACTATGATCTCTTCCCCATCTCCTTCCCTGCACATCCAACTCTTTGTGATTTGCGCTTGTGGCATGATGCATGGCCTTACATTTGTAAATCATACACCTGATGTTTCTGGGCCCAGTCTGGAAGCATCTGGTGCCAGTGGGCTGTTGATGGAGTTTCCTAGTTCCCTTGTTTACTTTATTGTGAGGAGAGCACAGAGCGTTTTCCTTAAACACATTTAAATGTTCAAACCATCTGATACTCATGTTACCGCGAGAGTGAGGGTCTCATTACTTTTCTTCTTGTTGTGACAAGAAGCCACTAAAGGAAGGAAGGCTTTTTGTTTTGTTTTGTTTTGGTTTGGTTTGGTTTTGATCCCTGGTTTGAAAAGGGGTGTGGTCATTCATGACGGTGAGGAAAGGAAGACAGCCAGAGCACCACATGCAGTCGGTGGTGGGGCACGTTATGTCCGTCGTCTGGGTGCAGAGGGAGGGCAGACAAGAAAGCAATTGAACTACGAGCCTTCAGGGCCTGCCCCACAACAGCCCACTTCTCCAGTGAGGCTCCACTTAGTAAAGGTTCCAAAGCAGCACAATCGGCTGAGGACCAGGCTTTCAAACACTCAAACCTAAGGAGGGAATTTCACACTGAAACCACAACAGTGCCCAGCACATTTTTCCTGGCCAACCAGCCTTTTTAATGACAGTTACGAAGCCATCCTAACCCCCCCCCCACTCAGTGAATGGAAATGCCCCCTCTGCTCTGTATGCAATGATGAGGGCTTGTCCGCAGTGTTCTAGCAATTTCTGTCTTTTCGTGTCAACAGCACACTTGTTTGGCCAAGCAGTGTATCTGATCAGCTCCCCCACCACCCTGGGAACTGGGAAGAACGTTCCTGCAATCTGACTGAGGTCCCCCACCTCCCTCTGGGTAAGAGAGCCCCAAGGTTGTGCCCTTGTGACGGAAAAGCTTTAGCGGTGCTTGCTTTGAAATATTTGTGGGTCACAGTGGTTCCAATATCTGGTGCAAAAACTGGTCTCTGTGTTTTAAACCCCTTGGCATTGCAGCCCTCCAGGTGGAACGGCATAGCATGTGTCCAGGCTGTCCCCACACCAAAACCACACACTTCCTATCCACCAGTGACAGTCTAGGTGCTACCTTCTCCCCACAATCAAGAGTTAGACACCATAAAAGTAACCTCCTTTCAACAACAACAACAAGAAAGCTTTGTTAAAAAAAAAAAAAGACACCACAGCAGTGTTTCCTGGTAACATATTTACCACAAATGTCCTAAATTACGATCACTCTGGGTCCGTAAAGAAACACTGTCATGTGTTGCTGGTTGCAGACGCTGGAGTACAAGGGTTGTCACAGAGGAACAGAAATGTGCCTCTAGGACACAATTCCTTCTGGTGCCATTTGTGGAGTCATCTCGGTGAATTCCCATGCAGGGCCGAGGAAAATGGTATACGGTCTGATACTTTTTCACGCCTTAAAATAACACTTTGTAGCTGAATGGGGATGTGGCTGGATGTAGTTTGGAATGAGGTTGTCATTTCTTCAGGGGGCACAACCTCCTGGCGTTCCCTAATACTGTAAGAGAGCAAATGAGGTTTTCTTCATGGACATCTGCTGAGTGCTCGCACGGCTTCCAGAGGCTTGGACCTAACTGGGGCAGGGAGAGCAGGGAGAGGGTGAAAAGAATGAAGGGGAAACATCTGGGAGAGGATGGTCTGTGCTCTCAGCTGGAGGAATAATAGCACCCAGGACACTTGGTTTTGCTTATTATAGAGACTCAAGCAAGGGAGTCGGGGTTATTGCAAATGGCAGAACAGGAAGGCAGCGCTATTACACACAGAAATATAAAGAAGCAGGATTTTACGTACAGGTAGGTCAAGGAGGCAGGGTTATTACATACAGAGAAACAAAGAAGCAGGCTTATTACACACAGCTGGATTAAGGAATCAGGTTTAGCTGGTCTCAGCAGAAGCGGTCTCTGGAAAGGGGCAGTTTGCCTGCTACAAAGCATCCCAGGAGGAGGGAGTTTATGCAGGACATTTTCTGCATGTGCTACAACACCCACACTTGGCCCACATGGGAAGGCTTCGCCACTGCCCTCTGAGCCTCACCACCAGGGAGAAGGTGTGGGTCTGAGGACCATGTCAACAATGCACATCCACGCAGGGCTGAGCTCATTCAAAGCCTCTTCCTCTCCTTGCCTAGGTCCAGCACTATAACTGTTGCCTTTATCCCTTGGTGCTGTTTTTGTCCCGTTACCTCCTCTTGCCTTCTAAATGCTCGCTGCATTCTCGTAAACATTCCCAGGAGATCTGGCTTCTCTAGGCGTGAGTTCGATTATCAGACTCCATGCTCTCCTGAAGCCGCCAGGAGCCATGCTGTCAACAGTCATTGCTCTTGCTTATCATGTCCAGGCTCTGCCGGCTTTCCAACTCGATGACGGGTTCTTTCCCGCCGCAGGATGAAGTGGCTTTCCAGGAATAGACAGCTAGAGCTTCCTCTAGGTTTTCGTGGCAGAGAAGAAGGGGAATCTGTCCCAGAGACGGAGTGGGCTAGTCACCCTTCCTTGTACCCGTCCCAGCAAGAGAGTGTCTCTAACCTCTGCACGCTCTCAGGAGAGTGAAACAAGAGCACCCCCCATGTGTGTCTGTCCCCAGAGTGTTTACAATCAATAAATCTGACTGGTGCCGCCTACAGACCTGTATGCAGGAAGGTCTGCCCCAGAAGCTTGGGCACACGGCACCCTG